GGGGCCAGGGCCCCGTGGAGTGTCCTCTTTTTTTATTTTTTAAATATGGTAACCCTATCTGAGCCTCATTTTCCACAGCTGTAAAACGAAAAAACAATACTGCCTCAGAAAAAGGTTGTGAGCTTTAGGGCCAAATCCTTGTAGGTATTTTGGGGAATACCTTTGGGGATGTGGGCCTTAGTTCATTAATGTTCATGAGGCACAGAGATACTATGATGAAGGCCATAGAAAATGCTTATAACAAATACGTTAAATAGTGAATGTGGAGTCTGTATTAAAAACGGATTTTTTAAAACAGTTTTTTAGAACTGCCTGTCATTGTTTCACTATCTCAGTTACAGGGAATGGTGCTAGTGCTTCTCAGTGAGAGCTGACATTATGGCCCTGATTATGAGGGGCCTTTGTGATTTCCTCTTTGCCACGGTGGCCAGTTAGAAGATATAGGCCACATACTTGCAGGCTGCACCCTGGTTCCCTTATGGATTTGCACAATGCCCTTCCTTTAGCTATTGAATGGTTCAGACACATAGACTAACATGCTTGACTTCACTGTCACTTTAAATTCAATCTATCTATCTATCTATCTATATATATATATGGCCCTGTCTACACGAGACATTCAACTGTTTTTAACCATTCTTAAATACTATTTAAACTCAGTGGTGGGTGAACTGGGTTTGAACTGACCAATGAAGATGGGGTCAAAACATGCTAGAACCATGTTTGAAAGGCTCAATCTAAATATGCAGTGATTCATTTTAATTATATTTAGAATGTAACAACTATTTCTAAATTCAGAAAATGTTTCAAGAAATATTTCAGTGACTTCCACTTTATGAGAAGCAACAGATTATATTTTAGTTTACTGGCCTTTCCTTCAATGATGTTCCCCTCTAGCCTGAAATGTTTAGTCTTACTACCACTGTACCTCATCGTCTCGACTCTGGACTGCCGTTGCAAGTTCTGCCTCTAAAGCTGCGATGGTTTCAGTGTTTTTCTTATCCCGGAGGGAGATTTCTTCCATGAATTGAATCTTTTCTTGTTCTTCTAAGGGACTAGTCAGGAGTTTCTCAAACAAGAAGCCCCGGAACTCTGAAAGGCCTTTGATAAATAATTCAAATAATAAATCCCTAGCATAGGCCTCATCTCTCACGGCTTGAGAAGCTAGAGGGTCAGCCTGAAAGAGTCTCAGAATATTTCTGATAGAGCTTTTTACAGCTTGCTGGTGCAATTGAAGATGGCGGATTTGTTCCTCAGTTCCTACAAGGTCCCCTCTTCCATCTTCCTGCTTCAGGAGACCTTCTCTTTGAAGCTGGGTAAGTAGAGCTACCATGTTGTTTGAAAGCCGCTCATGCTCCTTAAGGGTACCCAGGAGCTCAGATCCCAGTATAGTGCTTAAGCCATCCAGAAATTCAGTAATGTGAGAGATCAGGCTGATCAATTCTATCTTAAAGGTGGCCTCATCCAAAACAGATATGATCCTCTTGGTCTCAACCGTGGTAAGTTTTGAACGACCTGGATCCAAGAGCTTTAGTGGGCTTGTTTTGATCGCTGACTTTTTTGGAGTCTGATTGTGTCCCACTGAGGACTTGCTGCTTGAATCTGTAGACTCATATGGCAACTGAAGCATGGTAGCCACCTCCGTTGCCATGTTCTCAGCCAAATGCTTACAAGCTGAGTGTTCTAAGGTGAAAGGGAGCAAAAATCTTCTATATGGGTAGAGCCACAGAGGACATCTCAATCAAACAACATCTAGATCCCCCCGGTGCTTCAGCTGCATGCTCTTCTTTCACAAAATTTACCTTAAAAAAAGTTTGATTTCAGCATTAGCAACACGATATACTTTGGTAAAAATTGAGAATGTTGAATTATACTGGGGCTGTCTCTAGGTTTAAAAGCACATTCAGGATATTGGGTCCTTACACCTATGACAGCCTGTCTCTGTGTTGGAGGTGAAACTGTATGTTAAGCCTCCAGTGGCACTGAGACAAAGTGATGAGCTATTTGTTCCCCATGCTGAAAGGTGGCGGGAAAGCTCCCCAGTCCTGAGAAGAGAGGGGGATGGTGGTGGGGATCCCTGGTCTCTAGGAGATGGGGAAGCTCTTCAGTGTCTCAGGGTCTGGATTAAGAGGCTCCCTGGTCTCTCTGGAGGTGGGTTGAACAGGGGCTGGTCTTTCTGAGCAGGTGGCCAAGTTGGGGTGTGTGTGTGTGTGTGTGGGGGGGTCCTGATCTTGTTAAAACGGGGGCAGGTTGGGGGAGGGGTGTCTAGGTCTCTCTTGGGGGGGTCAGACTGTGGCGAGGGGCTCCCCAGTCTCTTTGGAGGAGGGAGGGGCGAAAGGGCTTCCCTGTCTTCCTGCGGGTCCCCTCAAGGATCGGGGGGAGGCTCCCGGGTCTATTGGGGGCAGGGCTCCCCATCTCCCGGGGAGGTTCCCTGACTCTTCACATGCTCACATCAAAGCCGCCGCCGCCGCCGCCTCCCGTCCTGTCTATTTCCAGCGTGTCTCTGTTGCTAGGTTACGCCATCACTAACCTTTAACCCCAAACACAGAAGGCGGGGACAGATCCTCCCTGACTCTTCCCCCACCCTTCCCCGTAACCAATCGCCGCCCTTGCTTAGCACGCTTAGTCCCGCCCCTTCCTTCTCCGGAGAAAGGCGGGGTCTCCAGTGTGTCACCGAGCCTTCTGACCAATCAAAAACGTCACCGCTCACCTCTACTTTGATGGGCGAGACCTCCAGCCAATGGCAGGACAAAAGGGGAGAAACCCGGATCCCCTTCCAGGCGCCGACGTAGTGGCAGGGCGGGGCAGAGAGGGTGCCAAAGGGCGATTGGTGGGTTATTGGGATGGGGGAGCTATCAGAAGGCAGCCCGGAGGGAGGCGGCCAATGGGCGGTGCCGGTGGGCGGGGCTCGGCTCTGAGTCGGCGGCTGACTGAGGCGAGTTGTCGCAGCGGCTGGGGGTAGTTTGGCGGGCTCGGGTCTGTTGCTGGACCCGCCGGCTGGGGCGCGGGGCTCCCGGGGGAGTGGACCTTGGCTCCCGCGCGGGGTGAAAAGTCCGCGTGGAACGTGTACAAGGGTCGCCTGGGACGCGGGGGGAGGGGGTCGCTGAGGAGGGTCGCCTGGGACGCGGGGGGAGGGGGTCGCTGAGGAGGGGCTCGCGCCGGGGGTCGCTGTGTGGGGGAGGGGGGCCGCGGCCCCTGTGGGGCTCGTGCAGCGCGCCAGGGAGTTGCTGGGGCAGGTGCGGAGTCAGCTCGGGGGAGGGGATCCCGGCGCCTCTCCTAGGCAAGGTGCCAAGCAGCCCCCACCCCCCCCCGTCCCGGGCAGCGCGTCTCCCTTGGCGCTGGTGTGCGGGTGGCCCCCCTGCCCGGAAATGCACCTTTGCGCGTTTAGTCCTGGGAACATGTTCCTGTTTGCGTGACCTGCCCCGGCCTTTCCCCCACCCCAGCCCCAGCCTTCACTGGGACTTGCTCCCAGCCATCCCCTCCGCCTCAAAAAAGAATCAAACCATAAACACGTGGGGGGTGGCATCCTTAGTGAGGCACTTGTAGGGTAACTTCTGGATTCTTCTTAGGGAGTCACAAGTGTTGTAGAGGAAAAGTCCTGTTCGTGACTTCATGAGCGTGCAGGCTCATCGGACTCCTCCAGTTTTCCCATTCCCCCCTTGGAGGCCGGAGTTTTGAAATGGGAGAACAGAATAGTTTTGGATTTGAAGCCATGAGTGACACTGTTATGTTAACTATATATATGTAGCGCCTGCCTATTCTTTATTATTAATAAACATTGAGGGATTTACCTAGAATTATTTTCCTTCTGGTCTAAATTAAATCATGACTATTGCAGCTAAGATCATGAGTATTGTGGTTGCGGATAAGTAGCTCAAGTTAGATAAAGTTTTTTTGTTTTAATAGCCAGTGGCTGGGTATAAACTAATGTTGCTAGTGAACTTACTGTTCTGCACCACTCTTTGCAAACAGCTTGGTAGGTTCTTTTTTTGGACTGAGATCCCCTGGAAATGGGTGTGTGTTTCTCCATATTTTTAAGTCTAGAAGATGCACCTGATGGAGGACTTTCTGAGGAATATTTCTGACAAAGTGTTTTTGAAAAGTGAACTGCAAAAGACATTATTTAAAGTTCTTGGAAGAGGAGCCTGAAAGGAAATAGAATGGCTGTGAGCATGGATGATGATGTTCCCCTCATTCTCACTTTGGATGAGAGTGGAAGTAACACCTCTGCACCCAATGAGGAGCTGGAGCGGGAGGACCTGCCTAATGAAAGTAAGACCACTTTTTGTTTTTTGGAGCACACAGTTTATTTTCAGTCAGATGCTGTAATTGTGGTTTGTGGGGGTTTTTTTATGTATTTTTTTTCTATCCATAGCAGTTGCTCTGTATTCTTCCTGCTGGAGCCTGAAATCTTACCAAAAAACCTAATCGCTCACAGTATTAGGAGTAGCCTCAAAAAAACTTATTAGGAATTTTTTTATTGTTTACTGAAAACTCTCATAACTTTAGTGACTGTCTTGGGTGATCAAGGAGTAGATGATTTGGTCTTTATATGAGTCTGTGTGTCATGCAGCCTTTGATACTTTCAGGTAATAAATTGGGACTTTCTTGCCTGTAAATTAAAGTTTCTGTTTCAGAACCCTGTTGATATCTCTAGAGATGTCTGTTTCACTTTGTGGATGCTTGTGGAAAGCTGTGAGTAGAAGCAATCACTATTCACAGGGAAAGAGGACCAAAAAAGGGAAACAAAAGACCTCTTTCCTTCTTTGTTTTCTGCTCCCTGCTTTCTTTTCAGTCTCTGTCCACCTCCATGAGTGAATTTAGTCCTAGCAATGTTAGCAAAACTAATAGGATTCTGAGGAATTACATGACAAGGTCTACCTGTCATTGATTCTGATCTCAGATTTCTAAGGGCCTTTCTGTAGTGTAAACACAACCATGTTGGGGGGCTCAATTACTTTATAGTTTGTCCTCCAAAACAGTGGTTCTCAGCCTCTTCTAAACTGGGACTGCCCCTTACAATGTAGCCAGTAGTCCCATTCCCTGTAACTATATGGATAGAGCTGCGTGGTTGCAACCTTCTGGCACCTAGCCACAACCTGTAGGTTGAGAATCCTTGAGTTACGACAGTTCCATTTTCCTGTGAAGATGGAATATCTCCAAGGTTTAATCCATACTCCCAAACTATGTTATAGTTCTGATCTGTCCCAACGTTGTAGTATAATTCAAGTATGTGAGTGCAACACAGTTAGGTCCCATCTACTTTACAACACAGAGCCATGGTTTATCTGTTTTGGGCCCTTGTTTAACTCTTTTAACTTGGGGACATGTTTAACTCTGTTGCAGCTGGGCCTTCAGACATGTGGGGATTTTTTTGGTAGTGTTGATAGTCTGTAAAAACTAGACTGCAATATTTTGTAAGTAGCTACATGCCAATTTTCTCAAAGCCATGATACAAAGTAAAAATTTTAACTTAAATACAGGGGTTGTTTCTTAAAACTGTTGCAGGAGGGGTGGGCAGGAGGGACCTTTTATTGGATAAAATTAATGCTACAAGGTTGGAATTTAAAGAAAATTAAATGAGAAGATAGAAGCTGGATTTCCTTTAAAAATAAGGTTTTAAAGAAAAATTGTCCCCTGGTCTATTTAATTCTTTAAACACTGACTAGAGGAACTCACTTCAGTGAGGAGTGCATAAAAGGCTTATAATGACTGAGATTAAGGAAGACAGGGTTTTATATTGTAGTGAAGTATCATGTCTTCCAGGATGCTATCACTTTTCTGTCTCACCAGATTGTCAGAATTCTGCAAAGCTGACTAGAATTTTGCTCCTAATGGATGCAGTAGTGAGGTTTTCTCACAATGCAGGCAGCAGTCTGAACAAAAAGAATTGTGAGGCTTGATAGTAAGTTCTTCAAAACTCCAGCAGTTGAAGAAGACTGAGAGGGAGAGAAGCGCTGTCATCACTTGAGTCTGTTGCTTAAAGAAAGTATGTTGTCCTTCCCTAGCGCATCTTATTTGAGGATCTCAAAGTGCTGAATAAAGACTAATTAAGCTTCACAACTCCTTTGTGAGTTAAATGAGTGTTATTACCCTCATTTTACTGTGGGAAAAACTGAGACACAGGAATTAAGTGACCTTACTCAGTTACACAGTCAGTCACTAACAGTGGTGGGAAAAATAGCCCAGGACCTCCTGACTTTTAGTTCCTTGTTTTAAACACTTGGCTGGCCTAGTGGAAAGAACACTGGACTGGGGCTCAGAAGATACAGGTTTTATTCCTGCCTTTGCCGCTGTCCTAGTGGGTGAAATTGGGCAAGTAACTTCACTACTCTGCCTCAGTTTCTCCATCTGTTAAATGGGGATAATGATACTGCTCTCCTTTGTAAAGCATTTTGAGATCTACTGATGAAAAGTGCTATATAAGAGCTCAATATTATCTTAAATTTAAAAATGTTCTTCCATCATATCTCAAAGTCTGAGAACTTTTTTATATATAATATATATTATAAGACACATGTAAAGCCTTGCAAGTATTGGACAGCATCTCTCGAGCTGCTTGGAATTATAGGCAATAAATCATACATACATATGATTTACCCCCATGTTAGTTCAGGTCCAAGATGTACTCTTCTATATGGAAATTCCTGTTGCATCAACTAGCAATGCAGGTCCAGTGCATTCAGAGCAGGACATACAGTACAAATGTTATATAGGCAACAATGTTGTACTGTGTTACCACAGTACTTCCACACTAGTCGATTTATAGCAAGTGGGAAAAGTCATTTTTTATACTCTGGTTTGAACAAGAAAAACACTGATTGCTACTGAGGCAAAAATAAATTCTAGTAGAAGTGTCAGCTGCCACTCTAGGTTTTGAATGAAGCTTCCTGTCTTCAGACAATTGTAATTTGCAAAAACACTCACACCTTTGCTGAGTCTTTCCAAACTTGGGCTCTACTTAAAGGTGAATCAAAGGAAACTTTAGAAAGCCTGAGCCATTCTGTTTAATTTGTAATGGGTGGAAAATAGAGAATTATTACCCAAGCTCACTTCTAAGTATGTTCTGGGCCACCCTGAAATTTATGGCATAAGACCTGCAAAGGAGGAAGCTACAGATACTTCAAAGTGAATGCATAGTGGTGCATAACCCTCCTGCATGAAGATTATGAATCCACATTTCCTCAGTTATAAGAAGCTGTGCTGCAGTACTTACTGCGTGAGTGTTCATCACAGGCCTCAAAGTATTGGAGAAGGTGCTACACTTCCATAAGAATATGGGAATAAAGGAGTTCTTTTTATCAAGTACTGTCTGGTCTTGATATTAGAAAAATCCCATCAAGGAACTAAGAATGTAATGAGGCTTTCAGCAAAGTTGTCAGATGTGCAGTTGGCTGATGCTCTGTTCAAATAACTCACAACAGTTTTGGAGTATAATTATGGAGTAAGGGCACATCATGTACAATAAACCAGTTCATTTTGAATAGTTTATCTACTTATCCACTTGTAGGCACGTGCCCAAAGTACTGGGCTAGAATCTAGCCGAGGAATGGTTGACATAGTTCTGCTGAAATACACACGCATTCAGGGATGTGAATATCCACTTGCTGATTCCTATAATCAGCATAAAGCTTGAAGGAACACAAATTTCCTTGTATAAATTCTGGTTCAAGAACATATTTGTGTCAGCAGTGAAAGAAAAAGGATTTCCCCTTCATACTTTGCAGGGATACCATATCTGGACAGATAGCATCTCTTTCGAAAATATCCTTGTTATCTAATAATGTAACTTTTATAGTGCAGCCAGTGGATGAGAGTTCCCCAGATGTGAAATTGCACCACATCCTCTGATGTTCCTAGCAGGAACAAGTAGGCAACAGCTTTTTGGCTCTTTTGGAAATACTATAATCTCCAGCAAACTATCTGTGCTTGTGCTAATACTCTGTTCATTGAGGAAACAGATCCCTGTCAAGGAGGTTTTGACTTCGCTGGCTTTGAAAGTAAATGGATACTAAAAGTTAGTTTTGTGGAAGACTTAGAAAACCTACCAGGAAACAAAGGTATTGATCCTTCAAATGGCAGTGAGAGATTTAGAAGGTGACATTGCAGACTAAGCACACAGATTATGTGGAAACTGATGACTGTGACTAAAGTAATGGGGGAAAAAGTGAGGGCAGACAAGGTGGTTGCATTTGACCTGGTAATTCATGGTGTATCTGACAGCAGAACCTTAAACTTCCTACATACCATGCAGTATATTTTCCTACAACATGTCTTCTCGTACCACTGATCTCCTCTTAAATAGTTCCAGTAGTCGTGCTTCCGCTACTTCTTTTGGAGATAAATCACGGCTTGAGCACAGGACTGGGAGCCAGAAATTTAGGCGTGCCAGCCCCAGTTCTGCCACAGATTCCTTCTTTGACCTAGGGTAAGTCACTTAACCTCTCAGAGCTTCAGTTTTCTCATTGGTAAAATGTGTATTATACCTACCTCACAGTGGGTCTGGGAGGAGTAATTAGTGTTTTGTGAAGGACTAATTTTTTTGTAGTGATGACGTATTTTTATTCTGTTATTTATTTAAGGGTGAGATTTTTTTTTCAAACGTGGATAGGGCAGTTTGGTGCCTAATTCCCATTGACTTTCAATGAGAGGCATCAAACTGATTAAAAAATCTCTTCCCAAACACACAACTGTACAATCTGAATGTCTGCTGGGGGTTTTGTAATATGCATCTAGTCCAGATAACTTATAATGGAACTCTTTTTTTTTTTTTAGAAGAGCAAGTTGCCCTTGAAGGAAAGCTGTCTCCAGTATGGCTTCCTAAGACAGTGTCTCAACCTTAGGTTCGTGACCCCTAGCGGAGGTCATAAGTGGGTTTAGGGGAGTTGCAAACACGGACGGCATTAGATAGCCAGGGGTCCCGCAAAGCTTTGGCCCTGCTTCCTGACAGTTTACATGTTTCAGCCCCAGGCCTGAAGCTGAAGGCCAAGCTTAAGGTAGGTAGAGGGTCTCAATTTTTTCAGATAGGGAGGTTGCCAGCACAGAAAGGTTGAGAAACACTGCTCTAGGAGATGGAAATTACAGCAAAAGAAATCAGCACATGAAACATCAGAATGTACTGATTTCTCTCTCAGCACTGTTCCCCTCTCACTGTTGTTATTGGTGTGATGTGCCCATGCCCTGTAAACTCAGATGAAGTCTGGAAAGGTTGATTTCCAACTTGCATTCCATTCAGGAGCTGCTGTGTGTCCTCTGATACTGGAGAATACACA